ATGATAAAACTTTCATGGACTTCTACATTAACTGTTCCCTCCTGGTGGAATGACCTGCCCAGCTCAATCCAAGCAGCTTAATATTTTCAAGAAACGTCTGAAAATACATCTCTTTCATCTTCATTTGACCCTCTAACTCTAGCACTCTTTATTCTAATGCTAATTCTAATTTTATCTGCTGGTTTTTTTAATTAAATAAACTTGACCCTCTAACATTTGCACTCTCTATTCTATTTCTATTCTAACTACTTGTTTTATTTAAAAAGAAAAGAGCCTTTAACACTAGCATTCTCTATTCTTTCTGCTTGTTTTCTTTTTATTTATTATAAATAATGACCTTCTAACACAAGCATTATCTATTCTTTTTCTGTTCTATCTACTTGTTTTCTTTTTATTTATTCTAAAAACAAAACAAGCAAACAAACAAAAAAAACCCTTGCTACGTATACCGCGTTAGGCGAAACCCTGCCTCCTTCCCCCGCCCACTAACCCCGCCCCCCACTGTCCTATTTTTGGAAAACTAAAATATGGTCACCCTATCACAGAAATAATGTAAGTTTTTCCTCAATGTAGTATGGAAACTATTAACATTTCAGTAAGTGGGAAAAAAGTATAATACCTCCTCCAGAGTGTCATCCTGTAGCTCAGGCGGTCCCAGATCAACGCTCTTACGTCCATCACGTTTCTGCTTCTGTTTGCTAGGGATTTTCTTGATGTTGCTTCCGTGACTAAGGCGCCGGACTGGGCTGGTCAACCATTTCTTCAGTGTATTCCCAGAGCGCTTGGGTCCAGGGGAGCTGCTCTGCAGGGAGTTCAGGGATGCCTGCGGCTGTAATGTGGCCACGGACTCGGTCTTCCCTTCTGGGCCGCTAATCGCATAGTTTTCTGTAGGACAAAGAACATAGAGAAGGGTGAATGAAAGTAAAGTTCATGATGAAGGTGATGATCAGTCCTAAAATAATTTTTAAGGAATATTCCAGGTAAAATTCAAATTAAGTTGCAATTTCTGCATCATTGACATTACCAAATGGAATTGTGAAAATACTAGTTGGGGAAAATAGGATTCTGAAATACTCCACCCATCCATCCAATGGCCAGAAAAACAGGCAGTCCCACCCCAAACTCACACATCCGGTTGACACAATGGTTGGGATAGTCAAACAAACAGAACAATGTTTTGAAAGCAACAAATAGCCACAGTGTTTATGCTTTTCTGGGAGCTTACAGACTATGGACAGCATCTGTGGCATATTGTTGATTACCATATTTCACAGACTCACCCCTCAGATTGTTACAAAGAAAACAAACAGAAAATACACTTACAATAATGAACTTACAATGGAAGTCTAATAAAGCACTTATATAAATTCTTTAGTAAACACATTTATTACTTGAGTTATAAAGTTTGAATGAATTGAATTAACCCTAAACTAGTGAAATATTGGTTTCCTCCCATTCCCAGTCAAAATCACTTGAACACGTTGTTTTCAATCATCTCTCTTCTTTCCGGTCACAAAAAATTTGCTCAAATTTGCTTTAGTCAGGCATCAAAAGAGGACATTCAATAGAGATCAGTCCGGAAGCTCTGCAGTTGGCAAGACCCACTATCAGATGATCAATCCTCAATCTCCTAGCTTTTGACCCCAGACTACCAAATCCTCCTGTGTATCATCTCGAGCCTTGGTCCCATCTGCACTCCACTGGTTTGAGTCCTAATTTACAGGTAAATCATTCAGGGTTATTTTGGAGAGGAGGGGTGTTTAAATCACATTAACTTCCCACAGGGGTGCCTCAGGGTTCAGTGTTTAGCCCCCTTTTCTTCTCACATTAAAACTGGGACATATCATCCAGGTTCTATTATTTTTTGTGGTATTCAACAGCATGCTCAGACAGTATAACTGGACAGGTTAATTGTTTAAGATGTAACACTATAAACACATTAATTCAAAGTTAATGATTGCCTTCCACAAATGCAAACCACACACCTAACAAAGTCAATATTCTTGTGATGTAGAAGAAGCTCAAGCAGACATTACCCATACTATTAAAGCACACTGTAACTGCATTTTCATGAAAAATGATTTGTAGAGTATTGCAACATAAAAAGCCTTTTCTGCTGTGTTCTGAGTGTGTGTTCAAAGATTGGTGATCACTGAATTACAATTAGTTATAAATTATTATATTCTATAATTAATAATTATAATCATTCTAGAGATGCATAATATATTGGTATATTATGCATAATATAACTGCTAATATCAGCAGGGTTTTAAATGATCAGTATCCATGTCATTAGGTAACAAACAGGAGACAAAACAATACAGATATATAATATTGCTCATCATATATATAACATTACTATGGTTATCAGCCAAATTTTCGATGTCAGTGCATTCCTAATTCTAATCATGCACTATTTAACATGTTAAAATTTCAAACAAATTGGCATTATATCTCACTGAAGCATCACTGAAAACATTCCATGTATTTTTTCTCTCTTGCGCTTACATGCCTGATTCATGATAAGATCATCAAGTCTCATAACCAACAGAAGAACTTGTTCTCCAAAAGCCCATGTGTGGATGACATCTGTGCATTTAGTACGGACTTCAATGGCTGACTCATTAGAGGAAGTGACCTTGTGAGAGTTGATCATAAAGCTTGCGACGGAAACATCAGTGAATCTCTACTACAACCCAACATTTTCTGCAGAAATCACAGCTGCCTCAAATGAGCATCGAGCTGTCAGAGTCCTAAAACAGAACGAATGCTGCTCTACACACATGCTGTACACACTGTTCTGCGTTTGTCTCACCAGGCTCGATTGAACACGTGTGAGCCATTCACGAGAACCAGCCATCACAGGAGTGTGTGTCCATCTGCTGCTTGATGGAGTGCATCCCGTCAAGTGCTGTTGTGCTTTTTGAAGAGCGAACCTGCGTAATACACAGACTGACTGACGACAAACGTGGAGTCTTGTGAGTGTGTGATTATGTGTGGAGCAAAGAGAGGCTTTAATGAGAACAGTCATTAAGCACTGCCCTTTACACACACACACTACACACACACTTCTCCTGCTGCTGCCTCAGTAACCGAGAGACAGACAGAGAGAGTTCTTTGTTCTTTTAAGTTGTCACATCACATTTCCACAGAAAGGAGCATCTGGATCATATGACTAGTTTTACTGCAAAGCAAAACCAACTCACAGGAACTCGCATTGACACATATCAGAGTCCTGCTCATGGAAAGCTCCTGCAAGAAATGTTGTAGAACTGAACGTATAAATAAATACGCCAAAATTCTGAATAAAATTTGACTTTGGCTAGTATATTATAATGTGTTGTAAGTCTGTTACTCTTCATTTGGCTAGTAACTTTATTAGGAACTGCAACATTATAAGTTACAAGTATGTCTGAACGTCATAGATGAAAGTGATGTGAACAATTCAAACCAAACAGACATAAATGCTCTTTTTTTTTCCTTCTACAACTCAGTTTAGACAAATATGTGAAATATTGCTCACATTAAGGCACCAAAACTAAAATATGAGAAACAAAATCATGATATTTTGTAAGAAATGCAGTTTCATTGATAGACAAGAATGACTCAAACAGGTATACAATGCTGCAAATAAATGACCTTAATACTACTAATATGCAAGTTTAGATTATATATATATTTTAAATAATAAAAAAAGTGGAAAATAAAGTTTCATGGCCGGTAAATTTGATTTATTTCACTCGCCATTGGAAGGTGTGGCATGTGAGGAATATTTCTGGAATTGTTTAAAAATCCCAGTAACTCACTGATGCTGTGAAGCATAAAAAGTCCTTTTTGCACTGTTTTTCATTCTCAGTTTTCGTTAACAAGACCAAACTGACTTTTACAGTAGTAACTGGTATTTAAGCAAAAAACTACAAAAAAAAGAATTCAATGCTAGTGACAGAACACTCTAATTGTCATCAATTTTGACATCACTTCCTTCATGTTCTGTTCTGCTACTCACAGGTACTTCACTGGCCTTTTGAAACTCAATCCAGTGGATCTGTGCAGTAAAAATACCATGCATGGCTTCATTTGAGGAGCTTTGTGGCATGGCAACTCCTCTGAAAGGCGCAAAGAGAGAAAAACGACCCCAAAAGTATTTAAACGCTTGAGTCTTACAAAAAAAAAGCTAATGTCACGTTTCTTCATAACTTTTAATCAGCTGGTGTTTAAGGCCCTGTCCACACGGACGCGGTCATTTTTAAAACCGCAGCTTTTTCTACGCGGTTAGGCCATTCGTCCACACTCAAACGCAGCACCAGGTCATTGAAAGAGTTTTTGGCTTGAGGCGTCAGCGCCTGCGCTGTTATCTCCACCTACTGGAGACTTTTTCAGGCTTCTGATTGGCCAACATGGCTTTACAGTTGAGATCATATCGCCACCTGTTGGTTTGGCATGCTCTTGACAGTGCTTCATAGCATGCGTTTGTGTTTTCATGTGGACAGAGATTTTTTTAAAAACAGAAGAAGGAAAAACTCCGTTTATAAAAATACCCGTGTACGTGTGGACATGGCCTTAGTGATTTGCAGTGGATATTTGAAGTAATTTGTCCTCAAGGTCACACAGGTGTCCTATCAGAGGAACCACAGGTGTAACCTTTAGTTTTACTACCATTCAACTAACACAAAGTGTCCAGATACCACATGAAAACCTGTGTTTGCACTATTTTCTTTATAATAAATGTTTTAACCTGTTTTGATATTTTGCATCTAAGTGCGTCTCGAATGTCCAAATACTTTGCGTTAAAATCAAAAATAAGACACAGTGGCCTCATTTCACATGAGTCAGAGTTCCCGGCGCTGTTGTGAAAGTTACTGATACTCCCACCTCATACTCCTCATACTTCCCATAGAAAGACTGAAAGTAATGATGTCATGGTAATTCATGTGAGATGAAAAATAAGAACGTGAAACAACAACTAATAAACAAGCTATCATTTAGAAGCATATGCTCTGGACAATAGAATGTAGCACGATTTACACTCAACAGCTGCTATAAAACTAGTAGTTCTGCTCCTGGATACTGACTGTGGTTCCAGCTTTGCTTTCCAGCACTCCAGCCATACAAAATGCACTGTATATATTACCAGAATTGTATGATACGTCACACCTGTTGACCAGCAACTGTGTGTTTGTCTGTGTAGCACTAACAGAGACCAACTATTAACCTTATCTGTATAGGGACTGTATTGTCTAGCAAACAGAACAAGAGCTTTTTGTAGGTGAAGATTTTTTTTTTTTTTACAGTTTAAATAATGTATCCTAACTAAACTTTATATGCAGAGACAACTATAACAAATGACACACTTCATTTCAGCTTTTAGGTTTCACTTTGGATTTAAGGCCCTCATATCTGAGACATATGTACAATCCATTCATAAATTCCATCTTCAGCCAAACAATGTGGCGTCTTCCACACGACTTCCTGACACACAGAGGTGCGACTGAGAGAACGGGTTAGTCTTCACTGAAGCATGCAGACAGACATGTCCTCCTTTATCATCTGTTTAGTCTTTGCACTGACATTCCTCGCTGTCAATAGAAACCCAGGCATGTTTTAAAGCGTGTGGCGTTTTTCCAGATACTTCACATTAGATTCTTCTGAGCTGAGCCAGTTCTGAAACACACAGGAAGTCCAGACAGACAGCATTCCATTCATAGGTGAGGAGTTTCAAATGCGTTTACCTGACAACACCTCTCGCATCACAATACAGTTCTGCTGACTGTACATTACACGCATTACTGACTGTAAATGTTCTAAGCGCTCAGGAGGAAGAAAAACAGGGAAATAATTGCCATGTTCCCACATTATCTCTCTCTTAGAGCCATTTTCAAAGAGCC